TCAGCTGCTGCCGGGCCCGCCGGGGCTGCCAGCGCAGACCGCCCAACGCACGCGGGTTCCACCGCGAAGGTTGTTTCGGCAAGGTGTCGGCCTTCGTCAGCAGCAACATGTTCTACGTTGCCACGGCTGCCTTGGGGCTGGCTCTGCTGCAGCTCATCGGCATCGTGCTGGCCTGCCTGCTGGCTGCCCGCCTTCCTGCCCACCTGCTGGGCATCACTACCCCTCGCTGAGATCCCCCCGCTCCTGTCCCTCATCCTCTCAGCTCCCTTCTTTACCCCAGACCTGGGTGCACCCCATTGGGAAAATCCTCCTTTCACATTCCCCACATCCACTTGAGATCCTCCTCCAGTCTCAGTTCCTCCTCCTTTCCTCCTCCAGACTCTCTTCCTCCTCTGGAGCCTGTGCTAGGTGCATCAGCGCTACAGACATCTCCACAGCCTCTCGGAGTTGGGAAGGTGCCTCCTGGCGCGGCTATGCCTGCTGCAGGGCAGCAGGGTCCCCACTGTACCCCTGGAGCCTCTGGACTGCTTCTGCAGAGAGTGGTGGCAGCGTGGACAGACATCACCCTCTGGGACAGCAAGGACACCTAGGTCAAGGCTGACCAGTTTTCTGGTTGATGTAAGCATCCTGAGGCACTGAACCAGGGGCCAGGAAAGAGGAGAGGGTCTGGGACAGCAAGAGAGGTGTCTCTGAATATTACGCCGGGTGATTGTCCCGAGACTGGAAAATGATATGACTGGAAAACTGCTGGAGTGTACATGCTCTAAGTGCTGCTCCCTCCTCCAGGATGTGTCTGGTGCCTCAGCCTGCGTGCTGCAGGGTATGTGTTTACGGGGCTGAGAAGACCTTAAACCCGTGTCCCTGTCATACAAGAGGATGGCAGCAGCTGTAGGATCAGACCTGACTGGGGTGGCAAGAGGAGGGCAGGGTGCATTGTCCTTCAGAAGTTTCTTGTGGACTTCTGCTGTTCACTTCACGGTGAGCAGAGCAGACTGTTTCATAGAAGGGTTTCTAAAAACTAGGTGCCAGACCCTGACATCTAAATTTTTTTAAAAATCTGTCTCTGAAATGTGCTCCCACCTATGTTTTTGAGACCAGCTCTATACAGTCTGCGAGTAGGCAGAGGACCCCAAGACCTGCTGCGTAGCCCAGGCTGTGTGCAGGTCAGACAGAAGTGTAAATCTACAGGATTTTATTTTTCGCCACAATCTCTGGGCTTGCATTTGGAGCTTTAGAAAAGCCAAGCCCTGCACTTTAGAGGGACTTGAATTTTCAGAACTTGACCCTTGCCTCTTACCACTTGCTTAAAACTTATGAGCTGGACTTGTACGTGTTCCTCTGCCTCGTGGCACAAAGGTACACTGAACACCCCCATACCTAGCAAACCACGGAGGGAGGATTTTGGAAAAGAACCAAGAACCACAAAGGAACTCCAGGATGTGGTGTCTTTTAGGAACATGACTAGCAAAGGTGTGGAGAACGGTCATATGTCAACAAATAGAAGCAGGACAGGGTATCTTGAATGAAGAAGATAACCAATGGCCTTATGGGAGGAGTGGAGTAGCCCTGGGGGAAAGGGGATAAGCAGTGAAGCTCTGGTGCCCGAGCAATGCATGCATGGGGTGGGGGGTGAGGAAGGCTTGGTTCGTTTTCTTCCTTGCTTGCCTTTATTACTTTTGACTAAATTTCTGGCTTTCTCTTTTCATCCCTCCAAAGAGCAACTGCTTGGCTGCAAGGAGAGACTCTCCTCCCACTCGATGGAGCTGTCCCTGCCCACTGGGGCAGCTGTGTCTGCTCGCCCTGGTGAGGAAGACAAAGGCAGAGCAAACCCATCACTGCCTCTCCATGGGGAAAACCAGATCAAATGTAGAGCTGACTACCCTCCCACGGTTTAAATCCTCCGTTTCTATACCAAAAGGAACCTTGCTTTGGTATTTCTGTGCTGTCTCCCTGCTGAAAATAAGCTGCTAGGATTTTTTTTGACAATGCTCCTAGGGGTGAAACCAGGGCAAAACATGTATTCACTTGAAAATATTCCGATTTCAGGTAGCTTTACTGCTTTTAATGCTTTGTACAATTTAAAAATACCTGGAAATGCTACCTCTTCCCTGTCTTTTGTGATAGTGAAGCCCCCCTTTTTTTTTTTTTTTTTTTTTTTTGTAGAAGGGTTGTTCAGTTTTATGGTGAATTTGTTCCACTTGCAGGATTGTAACTATTTCTGACCTGGGGATAGTGCTGCAATTTGGCCTGCCCCTGACTTGTTGGACTGCTGCCATAAAGGTGCAGTGCTCCTGCAGAGCACAGCAGGCTTGTCCAGGAAACATAAAGGGAATTCTCCTTACTTATATTAACAAGTACTCAAGCTTGATGAGAGAATGAGAATGTAAAAAAACTCAAACTAAAACAATGTAAATAAGTGTTCCCATGGAAAAGCGACGTTTTACTCTCCCGATATGCGAAATAGTCTAAAGTTTAAATGAAGTTTCAGCTGAGGACTGCTGAATCCAGAACGGTATTTACAAGCAAAAATCTACAAGGACCAGTAGGGAGTATCCAGTACTCACTGGAGTCCAGGCGCACAAACTGGTTTTACTAAATTTATAAAAATGATCTTTCCTCACGGAAATAATTCCTTTGCGGTCAAAAGTAGATAAAGATAAATTGGGTTCTCCTTTTTGGAGAGTGATTCTAGTCCGCATGGATGGATCTTAGGATTCCGAGTTAACAGTGAAGTTGCGTTGGGTGTGAGCTGTGGCTTTATCTTAACTGCTTTATCCTTTTTTCAGATATTAGGTAGGTATGTAACTACGATGATCACATTCCAGGTGAAGAGTGCAATGTAAACAGGCTTCTCAGTCATTTGACTTTCATCTGAATAGATGAATTTTGAATATGTGTTGGGAATCTGTCTTTATAGAGAAAACAATGCTTCATTTTTTAACGCAGATGTTTATTGTTTTAGATAATATTTTTAAAATTTTTGTTTGTAAATATCCCTGTATTAACAACATTTTTGGAGTTATGCACTAGTGGAACTCCTGTTATTTTCTGGAAATCAATGTCATGTTGTACAGTTTTAACAATGAGTAAAAAGCATAGTTTGTATGGGAAATGATACTTCAGAAATAAAACTTAGCAAGTGCTATGAGCAAACCAGGTCACTGTTTTGAATCCGATTCAATATTTGTATTTCCATGTGTCTCTGCATGGTTCAACGAAGTGCAAGTGTATTGAAGCATATGCTGAAGTGTAAAGGTAGAACAATATTGTGGGTTTTTTATTCAGAAGATCCATTAAAGAAGCAACAAAATGCATTGTGGAGAGTGTGGGAAAGGAACATGGAGTTGCACCGGGTTTATCACAATGGTGGTTTTTATCTGAATCAATAAGCTCTGAAAATTTACAGGAATATGGCATTGTTCTTTTTTTTTTTTTTTTGCTCCACTGATTACTAAAGTTATTTCTGATCCTGATGCTGATTACGTTATGTGACACATAGCAGTCAGTCAGAATGAAGGGTGCTGTCAAAACACATTGAACCAAAAACCTTGTATAGATGTTCACTTCAGCTAATTTGTTGTGTTTTTAAGTTGCTAGGAATATCAAAACAGGAATGATATGACCAAGTTTTAAGCATGTTGGTATGGTGGCAAGGCCTGAATCTCAGGACATCGACTTAAATATGATGAATAATTCAAAACGTAAACCATCACTGCAATCTTGGCCTACACTTACTGAAATAGGATAAACCTTGGCAGTGACCACATAAATGTTAAGTATACTTATGTCACTAAAGATGTCATGGACTGGCTATTAGCTCTAGTTGGACGTTTCCCAGTATCTGTTTCAGTTGTCTTGAATACCTTGTGCTCAGTGACCAAATTTTAATTTAATTTTTAAATTATCTAGATTCAGTGTTAATTTTGTTCTGGATGGTGAGAATGGCTCTAACTGGAAAATGTTATGCTGGACAGCACTGTCTATCCCACACTGGAATACGTATTTGTTTTCCGTCATCCTCTTCAGCATGAAGTTACCCATCAAAACGGTATACTTCAGCAAAAGCTGATCTCATAATTTACAAAAAGCTAATCTCGATTTTAACATCACTGGTTATTTAATAAATTAAAAACCATACCAAATTAAACATAGAAGCAAGCTGCACTGCTGTTGTAGAAACAATAGCTCTGTTGTTTGAACAGACTGAGATTTAGGATTAATAGAGTGGTAAGATTAGACTCTTGTTATGAAACAAGAACTCTTTTATAACATTGATCCAGAATGCCAAGAATATAACTGTTTACTGTACTTGTGTGTAGCTGAACTTCACATTACATATAACCAGGACTAAAAATGGCCTTTATAATGGATTGTGAATTTTTTAGAGAAGAGATGGCTTTCCTGGGGTCAGAAAACTTAAACAATACCAGTAAGATGGAGTAAATCAGAGAAGAAAAAAATACTACTTTTGTGAAAAAGTAGTTTTCATGTTTATTTGTGTATTTATCTTATAACATTATCTTCCTTCTTCTGGAGAAAATACAACCACTTACTACCTTGGTGACTTCTGCTGATAGTAGCTGATATTGTATAAAGCTCTTGACAAGAAGAGTAGTCATCTATTATTTCCACAGATAAATTACAGTAAAGATACCCTTTTTCATAAATCCAGAAACCTACAGGAGATTCTGATAAATCAGATAGAATGGGAACAGAGCTGGAAATTCAGTGTTTTCCCAATCACATATTTTGGGCTCCAATAAAAAAGGCACATCCATGGAAAATTTGTGTGGTCACGTTAAGAAGTCTTACCAGTCTTGTTCTGAAGCACCACAAAATGCTGATCAGAAACTTCAAACGTAAGTCCCACAGCTAACAGAGTCTGAGACTTTCTTTTCATCTGAAATGTCTCAACCCAGAAGAAAGCAAATGCCATCAGGAAAAGTAGCACTTGCTTTGATATTATGTTCATTTGAGCAGTGCTGGCATCAGCATGAAACAGAGCAAGCCAAAGGATACTCCTGGCTTAAAAAGATCCTTGTGGTTTCTAGAGGTTTCTGTAAAGATCAGGGAAACATCTGTAAATATTTTACATGTCCAGACCTTCCCCTTCATCAAGCCACACATTACCTCAGAGGGCTTCTCAAAGCCACACGCACTTCCCCATAACATCCCAAATTCTGTCTCAAACAGTTGAAAAAAGTATTTATTTGTGGGAAGATTTTTTTTT